GCTCCAGGAGAGCTACCGGCCACCTCCTCCCCAGGCATTGCCAAGCCCTGAAGGCACGTGGTGCAACGCGGTGCACACCAGACCCTTACCCAGAGGGTCCGTGGGAGTGCCTTTGAAGATGATGCGGTAAGTGGTGAGGAAGATGGCTCCTTCCGCGGGAAGGAGAGGTGGACCACCAATATTCCCTCCAGCAGCTTCTTCCCGTCCATCAGGCATGAGGTACACGCGAAGCCCTTCCATCACACACTCCTCACCCACCAGCAGGTTGGGGCGCAGCAGCTTTGGCTACGGGGACGTACAGTAGGAAGTTCAGGCCCATGCAGACTGCGGAAGGGGACTCGATAGCCCCACAGAGCACCGGCGCCTTCCCCGCACTGCAGCAGGCCGGGTCCATACCTTCTGGATGGGAGGAAGCCTCTTGCTCTCCCTGTGCACGGCATCCAGTGTCTCTATGTGCATCTGCACAATATCTGTAGACAAACACGCAGTTAGAGACTGCAAAGTCCTGCCCTCCACACCGCGCAGCGGGCTGCCGACCCGCCCCGTAGCACCGTGCGTGCCTTCTCTCGGCCTTCCCACCGCTTGCCGCAGGGCCGTCTCTTGAGCAGCCCCCTCAGTGAGACCACACAGCTGCCCATTCCCCAGCGCTGCTGTAACGCTCGTTACCAGGGATCATGACGTGCAGCCCCTTGAGGTGCTCGTTGGTGACTCCACTCTCCGTGCAGACTTTGTCCACAAAGCGGTTGATGAATCGCACCACATAGTTGGCCACATCGGAACTCTCTGCGTCCTCAAATCCACTTTCTGTGTCATAGCTCTCAGCCATGCTGCCAGCGATGCTGCCGTACAGGAGTAGGGAAGAGTGTCTCTCCTCTGCTCTAACCCACACCAGGCAGAGCCCAAGGGCGTTCCCACTCTTGGTAGGAGCCCAGGAGAGCTTCCTCTCTTGCTACAAAACGCCCCTGAGCGCTGCAACCCGCATCAGTCCCGGCGGCAGCTGAAGGGCCCAGACGCCCCAGGTATTGCCCCAAGGAGCTCGCGCCCCAGCTCAGGTCGCTCTGGTCGCCCTGCGGCATGGCCCTGCCAAGCTCTCCAGCCCTGCTCACCTGTTGGTGACGAAGCTGTTGCTGACGCTCTCCACGTCCCCCAGCCCAGAGCTGCGCAGCAGGCGGTTCTTGCTGGTGTCGAGAGGCAGCAGCAGGTAGCTCATGCGGTTGGCATAGTGGATGGCCTGGCTGAAAACAGTGCTCTCCTCCTTCTGGATCAGCTCCTGCTGTTTCTCTCTGCTCATGGTGGGCCAGAGCCTCAGCTGCTCCGATGCTATCTCCAGGGCAGACTTGGCTTCCTGTGGCCCCTCCGTGCTCTCCTGAAGGAGTTGGAAGGAGATGTCAGACGTCTGCATGGACAAGGAGACCTGCGAGTCTTCACCCCACTGTTCCCACAGGAATCTCCCAGAACCAGGATGCAGTCCCTCAGGCTGGTTCAGCATCCTTATCAGCCCGCGGGCCTTTGGGGAGCGCTGCTTCTGCACAGCAGCTCTCCAGGGGCACCGACACCCCTGTCACCTCCTCACCTCACCCGTGTGGTTCTCCTCGTTGTTGTCCAGGTACAAGGCTCGGATGTGATTCTGCACATCACAGTAGAACATGGCCTCCCAGAACTGGATGTTGGTCCACACCACATGCTCCTGCACGCAGCTGTAGGCAAACTGCGTGATGCCCGGGCTCAGTTTCTGAGGAAGCAGAAGGTAGAGGAGAGTTTCATACCAAGATGGCCTTTGTGCCAAGCTCTCCTCTCCAGGTAATCCTTGCTCTAGCCTGTTGCTGGGTACCCTTGGGCTGGCAGGACGGACATTTGCATCAGAGCTCCTCCAAGCATTCCTTGCAAACTCTTCTCAGATTTGCCCAGCACCCACCCAGAGGCAGCCCCGGTTTCTCAGCACCCCTCCCACCGGTGTTCCAGCCATCTTGAGAGCCTTGGGCCCAGAGGCCAGCGCAGCCGAGGGGACAATCTGCCCTCAGCCTGGCTGCAGCGCTGGCTCTCAGACCTTCAGGCTGCCAGCCTCT